CCAATCCGTATGTTACCTTTATCAATATCTACCGGTATTATCAACCCACATCCCGTTCACTTAGGCCGTTTGCGAAACACGTTCAAGTATATTGCAATTGTCATTGATTTTGTAAAGTGGTTCCCGCGCATGAATACAAAGCTATAGACATCAAGTTTAAATATTTCGAAGAAATGTAAACGCACAGTGTTTGAGTGGCTTACAACTTCCATTAACAATCTGTGACAACATTTGCACACTGGCGGGTAAGGTGTGATGATGGTTGGGAAACATATGTTTGATATATTTGGTGTTTGTTTTTCATATTCTTCCTTGGAATACATAAATGCCAAACATTTCTATGTTCAAACAATGCTCCATGCATACCATAAATTCATATAGCAGTGCAAACAATGTATGCCATGATATTCCTTTCCGTTGCTATGGCAACTGCCGGGAGCGTTGTATTAATATTTTTTATTCATGTAGGCAATAAGCGGCATTATTAAAACTTGTTTTTTAAAATAACCACAGACGGTTTGGCGTGAATGAAGGAATTGGTAGCACTAACATTGGTCCATCGACAAGTTCAAAATGTATCTATTACTTTCACAGAAGCCCAGCACATATTTTTGTAGGTACCCGGAAGTATGAGATGATTATGTGAAAAAATGAGCCTAAATCTAGAGCCTAACTCAGGCATTCAACAGGGCTTCTTGTTGTCTTCAGTTGCACATGTTTGAACCCTCACCAAATTCCACAGATTCCTGACAATCAGGTATTTATAATAATAATGGGCAGCCTTCATATTCTCCGGAAAGTTCTTGGTGGGTTCGACTAGGCAGTGTGTCCTGGGACAAGTCCCAGTCGCTGTCTGGGCTGCGTGTAGGGGGGGGCGAGGGCCCTGAGCTGATGATCAGCCTTACCATCCTGACTGTGCCAGGATCACCCGAACCCTCCCTGCTGCATTTTCATCTCTAATCTGTAATATATAATAAATATTCTATTTCCACGACGGAACGTGAGAATACTCGTGCTATGCTCTTTTAATCAGCTCGCATGCGCTTGCATACAAATTGAAATAATAAGCTGCATGAAGAAGTCTAGTCTGTCATACAGACCCTGAAGCAACTATATCCCAGAAAGCCCACGCAAGTCTAGAAAATGTGCAAGTCTAGCTGATTTCAACAGCTTGACGAAAGTCTCAGGGCTCCTTTTCATTATATTTCAATTTTTTACTATGAGCTTTTATTCTGTAAAAATGTTCATTTAATAGACTAGTTGTTAGTCTAGAAGAAGTCCTATTGAGACAATCCTTGCCTTAAATCAGTGTGGCGTTCATCTCTATTGTGAGTCTCAACAATGTAAATGAACGATTGGTTACAGCTGTTGTCGTGTTGTATGGCCGTTCTGTGCAAGAAGAAACTGTATTATTAATCATTGTTTTTTCCCTAAGCACTAGGTATATTACCAAGTTGTCACCATATGATCAATTGCTTTCAAGAAGCCATACTCCTGATGTAACTGTATTTGTTCGTTTAATTATTTAGTTGGATTTAGTTCAATACAAAATCCAGCATCTCAATACAATTTGTTTAGATTGTACACCGTCATCGGAATAATCGTGTATGACTTATCAATCTCAGTTATTGTCCTGCAGGGAATAAAGGGTGATGTGAGTGTATGCCGATGGCATTAATCGATAGTACCATGGTCTTTGAGGCTACAAACTGATAATTGGTCAGCCTGAGCTTACGGTTTAAAAAAGCATTTACATTTCCTTGCTTTAGTCGCAGCCTTAAGTCGGTAAATACGAAAATTTGTGTTATGCATTTTGCAGAAAATGGGTACCCGGTGGGATTCTAGCGCCTCACCGGCAGCTTGGGTTATCCGGGCGCTTCGAGCATGCATTGTGATAATGCGCATGGTAAATAGACTATTATTATTATATTCGTTCCCTTAAAATTTCTTTTTTTGATCAGTATAGATACCAAATTTTGCATATTTTCATTGGAACTGTTTAAGATTCTTCAAGTTTTTTTTCAATGCCAATTTTCCTTTCGCTACATGGTTCTATTATGTCTTGGCGGAAGCGAAAGATTTGTACTTCTAGCGGCATATGGCCGACAATACGTCCAAAATGCATTTCAGAAGAGTTCATATCAGCACTTTCCGTTGTTGATTCCATTGAAAATATCAAATCTACGATAGAACATCCAGCTGGTCTATCTCATAATCTGGGTCCCCTAGTTCGTATACTGCCCTAGCTGTAGTAGATATACTGCAAACAAAATCATCATCATCATCATCATCACTGAGCGTTAAATTCTGTTCTGTTAACCAGTCTTCCATTTAGGATTACAGCCGCTAAAAGATTCGAGATGCTTATTTAATAAAACTCAATGCGATAAACAACGGTACCTTATTTCTAAGATAAATGTTTGGAAATAGGAGGGACTACACGTGCAAATTCAAATACCATGATTGTCGTCAATATTTACTATTAGTTGAGTAGCAAGTTTCCACTAAATGAGGTTAATTCATTTTTCACCAACATACTGAAAAATATTCCTTCATACTTTTGACAACTAGTTTTCTTGAAATCGTTCCTGAGACCAACTTCGTAGTTGATTGAATACATGCACGTGGTTCGAACCCTGGTAATGTCATAATCAAAGACGTTAAAAGATGGTACTTGCTGTTACTTTGCCTGGTACACAATGTGCTGTTAAAAGGGACTGTTCTGCGCAGTGTCAGTATAACGTTCAAAGTGAGGGCATCAGTGGGCTAAAGCTGTAATACGATAAATTACAAACGAACGAACGAACAAAAAAACAAGCAAGCAAGCAAGCAAGCAAGCAAACTATGTTATTATTGCCGAGATCTGGCGCCAGTCAAACTTCAAGAAAATGTCGCCAGTCACACTTTGGCTTGGGCCAACCGTAGGTGTCCCTGGAGGCTCTGTATCGGTAACCAAAACAAACAGAGCATCTACCTGTATGTTGACATGGTAGTCGTCCCACATCTCCATGTCAGCGTAAACCAGGCAGCGTGTCTGCCCTTACAACGCCGGTATTGATCAGCTGTCGGTGCCGGTTGCCAATCCCGTAGAATCTTCACTCGCAGGCATGCAGGCTCGTCCCTCGTAGAATCTTCTCGAGCCCTGGCAGGTGTAGATGCCCGTCCCACAGGGTCTTTTGGCGCTGTCACAGCTGTAAATGGCCGTCGCTCATAGAAGCGTCGGCGCTATCGAACGTATACAGGCTCGTCCCTAGGAGAACATTCTTGAGCCCTTGCAGGTGTACATCCTCGTCCTTCATAGAATCGTCCGGTAATCTTGCAGGTGTACTGTTTTACAAAGCGATCGCGACGCTATGACAATCCAGGGGCGGATACAGCTTTTTGAGAAAGGTGTGTGTGTGTGTGTGTGTGTGTGTGTTTGCGCGTGCGTGCGTGTGTGTGCGTGTATTTGTTATGCAATCATAATTGCCACAGTTTGACACTGACTTCCGACAAGCGTAAGCTAGAGTCGCTTCATGAAACATGACACAAGAGATTCAAAAGCTCACGGAGAATCTCCTTGAGTTTTAGCCGGTGTACATGCTCAGTCCTGATTAAATCTGATTAAATTGAATCTGAAGTTTCACATGACCACCCCTCGCAAAGTTTAGTGTGGATGTCGCACGTGTATAAGATCGTCCCTAGTAGAATCTTCTGGAGCTCTCGCTGGGGTACAAGTTGATACCTTGAATCATCTGGAGTTTCACAGATCTTCGTAGATCTCGTATACGTGCAGTCTTGGCCCTCTGGACCTGCTACAACACAGAGCTGTCACGCGACGATGTAGCTGATTTATAGACAAGTCCAATCCACAGCTCATGGAATAAATTGTGACATAACAGATGAAAAGGGTGTTGGGGCTATAGTTTGGTTGTTGTAGGCCTGCCTGGCGCTCGACATTAAGGGGATAAATCAGGATCGGTTTGGTGTAGGTTTGGTGGAGCTATATGAACGATATGAAATACATACATACACATGCAGACACTCCCTCACACACACGCAGGCATTAACACACACACGCACATCGGCACACACTCCCACAGGCACACACACTCTCACACACACGTGTGCGCACGCACACACTCCCACAGGCACACACACTCTCTCACACACGCGCGCGCACGCGCGCACGCACACACACACACGCACGCACACACACACACACACACGTAGGCACACTCTTTCACACAAGCGCAGGCTCACTCTCACACACACGCAGGCACACACGCACAGGCAGACACACTCACACACAGACATACACTCAAGAACAAGTTCAATAAATTTTCATAAGACCACATACCCCTTTTAACCTCACCTCATCTATCCAGGCTATGTTTTAAGTGCTTCGAGATAAGCTAAGTTACTTTGATCTTTAATATATGACTACTGTCATCGATTAGAGTGCTTGGGTTTTCACTTAATCAGGTTTCTCTGTATTTTGTAAACTTCTAAACACAAATACTTTATTTCACAAACAGAAATTAACATGAATAAATGAATAGGGTGACATTTTAAGTTGCCGCACAACATACACACAGTCCATTCATTGGTGAAATTGAAATGTCACAGAAAACGGAAAGTAGTTTATCGGTGAATCAAATCCAGATCTAAGAACATGTCGTGACACATATATAGTATTCCAACACACTTACCACACTTTCAGTTTACACGTATGAAAAAAGCAAACATACTTTACATTTAACTGCCTCTCAGGCGAAGCTTAAATGATACCTCTAAGATTCAACATAAAAATACACATGAAGTGAAGACTTAAAACATCCCTCCAACGTGACCTTTGACTTATTCAACCATTTCAAGGGTAAAGAGGGATAAAGCAACGTCAGTTTATTGAGGTGACGTACGTGTACTTTTTAGCAAACCAAACTGGTTTCAACGATTCCGAACCTAGCGACCGCGCATGCGCAGAACAGTCTGCTTCCAGTATTGCCAAACAGGTCGGAAATCGTCTGCTTCAAGCAATTGATCGCGGGACGGCGACAGTGCAGCATTATCTTGAATGGAGTATGGTATTTTCTGACAATTCGCATCAACACCGAGCCTTTTAATCGAGTGAACATTCCCGAAGAGCAGATTAATTTCGAGTTTCGTCTTGTATTGAGGAATTACCAACATGGGTCATCTTTCGAGAAACTTGAAAAGATTACTTCACCAATGTCTGCTGACATTATCTGCAGCGGCGTCGATATATGCAGGTGAGATGCTTCTACTGTATTCTGTGGTTTAAAAGTCATCCTTACAGAACATCCATTTATTTAAATACCCACCGATAATTTTGTGTTTGTTGTTTTGAAGATGTCATGGCACATTCTTCCAGAACACTGAATGTAGTATCTAATCACTGACATTTTATGCAACCAAATCGTCTTGAGAAAATAAACTATTTGTCTTCCTGATGGTATTTTTATGGAAACAGTAAAAAATAAATGTGTATTCTTTGTATTCGCAACAACATACGTAATTGTAATGAACCAACCATGTGTAATTTTCGAATAGTTTATCAATATTATACACACGCATATTTGCGGGGACAATGATTCATTCCAGTCGCTACTTATATCAATGATTCATAGAATGAAGGATTATTGTTATAATAAAATCTTACTTCACCGAACCATTCATAGCATTAATAGTATTGCATCCCGCATGTTGAAATGACATTGATCATATATGAACGAAGCGAAGTCTTTTCCACAGGTAAATCGAAAATAGTAAGTGAAAGATTTAAAGTTTCGAATTTTAATTTAAATTTTAAACAGGAAAATTAATTTTGTGAATTTGCACAGTATTTTTATTAAGTAGTGCAAAACCTAATCCTTTGTGTTGCTTGGCCATATTTACTTCGAGTACGTTAAAAAGTGATCCTCGAAATATTGAACAAAATATTTGGTAATTTCAAATGAATTCCAATGAATAAAAAACTAAGTAGGATTAAAACATGAATACTGATCTGTAAACAAACCTCTGTCCAAAGTATTTGTTTTTGTAAACAAATACGAAGAAAAGGACAATTTAATAGATAATTTATCAGCTGAAACAAGAAGAACTCCTTCGTTGTTTCATGATATTATGTAGCGATCGTGTTGGGATGTGAGATGCTGATTAATGTATATTTTAAAAGTCTTAAACAGACAAAAACCTGAATTATTTACCACAAATGACTCATCTTGAATCATGACTCGATATGTGTTGTCAGGTAGAGTTTCTGTCTCAATGGAGCACAGAGTCGTCTTACCACTACAACCACTGTAAGCCTGATGCTAATAATGCTGGAACACCGCTGTGTTCAGGTGCAGTGCTGAAAAAGAACATTCTCGATTATCTAGTTCTACACCATAGCTATATTTGGAAGTTACGTCACCGATTCCATCTGACCTATCACTAACGTAGCACACAATTTCTTTCGCTCATGACCCTGGAATCAAACAACCAATCAAAACGCCTGTTCTAAACCAAGTTAGGCGATAATCTACTTTCGAAATCACGACTTCGTAGGGCCAAGCCATCATCTATTGAATCAGAAATATCTTTTATGGAGATTTAGATGTTGAAATGCTTTCCTGAGCATAAAGGCGGGGGTAGGGGTGTGCGACCTCTGAAAGACCTTTCCTTATTGTTTGAGAGGGCATACTACAAGACAAGACGCGTACAGGTGATAACGCTGAATGTTTCTACCAATAAAGTAATCCTATTGGATGGTGAAAATCACAGTGGACCGGAATTGTTATTGAATGGATAATCGATCTTGTGCAGTCTAAGCCCTAGAAATGTGTTTCTTAAGACGATTGGAAAACTAATTACACACATTTTTTTATTACAGTTAATAACCAGTCTTAGTTGCTGCAGACACAAATGTTTGCAGTCTTCACATTTATGTCAGTAATATCCACTTCCAGTTTGAAGCAAATTGAAATCATTGATATTAATCTATTTAGAATTGTCGATCCAACTGCTACCAGTCAATCAATCGACCATAATCGGATTCTTACTTGTCCTTTGCACAATATTGTAGTCCCGGACTAGCGGGCTAACTTGAATTTCGAAGGTAGCGGTCCATATGCTTCAACTAAGTCGGCATCGAGAAATATGTTAACGATCGCTCAGTAGAAGGAAAAAGGCCCGGGATTTTGTCATTTTTGCTGAACACGCATCTTGTAACAGTTAGGCATTTTACTGCAGTAATCGATTTCACACTCTGGTTTATTGACCGACTGACTGGTAATGGTTTTACGCCGCTTTTAGCAATATTCCAGGAATATCACGGTGGGGGTACACCAGAAATGGGCTTCACACATTGTACCCATGTGGGAAATCGAACCCTGGCTTTCGGCGTGACGAGCGAACGCTTTAACCACTAGGCTACTCCACCGTCCCCACTCTGGTTTAAACAGTTACATCACGACTGGGCAATGACGTTCAAACGAATCCCTGGAATTTCAATTTAGGTGTGAATATAATGGGTTAACACTCCTTGTTTCACAGTCACATCGACACTTCGGCACCGGTAGAATCGAATTCTACGTGGGTTTATTAACTAAAGTTAATACAAGAAATTCGTTCCCGAGACTTTTATGTATTGAAATATAATTTGTATATTGTTTCCTGTTGTAATAGTGGGTATCCGTATTAACGAGGTTTCCAGTGTTCTGAGGTTCCCAATCCTTCTCTAGCCTCAGTTCGCATTGCAAACCGTTATACATTTTAACGTGTTTTGTATCATCCAGACAGTTATATAAACACCTGAAATGCGGATCATCATTATATAGTGGTATACGTAAATTGAATCTTTTGTTGTATATCTGCCTTGCATATTGCCGAGCAGGCTAGCAATAATTTAATGATGGGATTATCAATGAATTATACATGAGTCGTTGACTAGTCGTGGATAAATGAGCTGTTACAGCAGCTGGGCCAATATGTACATCCTGATTGCATCCAGAATGGTGCTGATTTGAATATTTTTCTCTTAAAGGTCACATGCAACGTAAAACACAACTTTGCAGATTCTGATACCTTTCGGTATGGACTTACCGAAACAAATCGTCAAAAAATGCAAATTCAACTTATAAAGTTGAAAAATAACGCGATGAAAAAAACCGCGCGAAATCGGAGTTCAAACGTTTCACTAATTTTCCCCAGACTTTTCTGGGGGAATACGGGTTTCAACAGCTGGGCTGCGCTCATAGCACGTGCGCAGTGAAATAGGTTCGCGCAACTTGGAAGCGGGCTGTCTGGTGAATACTCGGTGAAGGCTTTGGTGTGAGCTATTTTCATAATGTTTTGTTGATATCTCACAGGCGCGAGCTTTTTGTATGTTATGACAGTAAATAAACTGTTTATATAATTTCATTTGTCTATTTCACCAAACGTTCTTCTTACCGAGTCACTTTCTCAGTTCGATACTTAAAAGCAATGTCATTATTTAGAGTTGACACAATTTCTAACTGTGATATAGATATGTCGCTGTCACAGACAAAACTCAATGTCTTGTTTTATTGACACCTGTGTGTCTGCCTGCCTGTCTGCTAATGAGAATATTCAATACATAACTGCGATCACTGACCACATGCAATTTGAACTTAACCCCAATCAGGCTATACACCATAAACAAAACGCATTGATTTATGGCCCGAGTTCGGTCTATGTCACATTATGTAATTACACAGACATGCAGGTGTGATACTTGAACACATGACATGTTATGATGTCTGTTGATTGCAAAATGTTATACACAAAAAATGAGCATGTATTTACAAAACCCAACTTTCTATATATACACACACAATGAGCGGCATCTGCTAATGAACCAGCCGTTACACTTGAGTGCACACCCACCCGCTCTGACTGGGTTCGGTATCCCGGCTGCTTCGTTTCGAGGGAGGTAAACCCAAGCACAAAATATTGCACTTTTGATTTGCGATTATACGGTTATAATTTTGTTTATTTGTTTTTTCATAATCAGCAATGCATATTATATGTCATGAAGAAGTGATAATTGTGTTTTAATTATGTTTGATTTTTTGGTTGCATGTGACCTTTAATAGTTGCATTTGTTTCATGTCATTTTTAAAAACTAGATTTGTTTGTTTGATGTGTCAATTTATTTGGAGGTTGGAGCTACTGGGAAAAACGTAATTCTGCTATGTTTATTCATGCAATACTGTAAGCTGTGTAAGCTTATCGCCTTCACAGAAAATGTGGTTTTGGGTAGCCCAGTAGTTCATGGGTTCGCGTGTGCCACTTAGGCCTAGGTTTGGTTCCTAGCATGAGTAAAAGGTTTCTTTTTTTCATCGGTCATTAGATGCCTGGAGATTACTTAAAAGTGGCTTTGTAAGTACTCACCCGCCCTTCTTAGAGTTCCGTTAGGTAGCCATTTGGATGGAGCGTTTGCCAGACACGAGTAGCGACTTGTTCCCTACAAGTGTGGAGAGTGTCAAGCAATTGGTGGACATTAAAAGCGACAAAAACATGTCACTGTCATAAGGAGGGTCCATTGTACGATTCCGACCTCATCATAAGCATGTGTTTATGAATAATTATCAAAAAGTGACTTATCAGGTTTTCGAGAAAAAGTGGTAGTATCCATTCTAACCGATGGCACCCGTCACATACACAAGTAAAGGCAGGTCAATTTCCACCTGAACCCAATCCCAACCACATCCAAAGAACATAATAAAATGTCTACAATACATTGGATCATTAATTTCCAATTGTTCACCAGATACCTAAGACTGATATTCTCTTGTGGTGAACGTACATATTTCATATTGATTATAGTTTTTAGTTTTCTCTCTAATACCGGGAAATGAAGCAAATCGTTCCTTCTTAAGTAATAATACCACAACCAAACATAACAATTAGACAACACATTCCGGCGCAATTCATCGTCATCAACAGAGGATAAAATTCTAGAAGAGTCTGTTCACACACAATAGAAGACGAATGCCATAGTTCATCGATGGCCTTGCTTACTTGCCCTGACAAACAACACGTCTATTCATGCTGTTGTAATGCTGATATATAATTGAGAGCATTTCGATCCGTTTATGTTATGTGTGCCAAACACAGCAGCCTGCAGGGAGATATTAGTGGGACAGTCATGGGATTGCAGGTGTTCCATCGAAGCACCACTCAGCGTCCAGAGAGCTTGCGCTGGCACAGACTTGCATTTGATTTCACCTACTTAAACGAACTT